TCACTCGGAGCATAACCATGAAGCAAATGAGTCATTCTTCTCTGCAAGAGACGGAGCTGATGAACATTGAGACTGCCTATAATCATGAACAAGATAAAATGAGAGTTCTCTATGAAGCTTCATATAAAGGGTGTGTTTCCACCTTGAATTCATTGCTACTGGCGGACCCTGGAATGTTGCAGAAATTAGCTCACAAACTGTCTTCATAGAAACTCCGCTGCACATATCAGCTTCCTATGGCCACCATGAATTCACAAAAACCCTCCTTTCTCGTAAACCAGAACTTGCCCTTGAGAGAAACTGTTTACGAAGCACACCTCTCCAGTTAGCTTCTGCAGAAGGCCATACGGACACTGTGAAACTGTTGTTGGAAGCTGGTAAGGAGGCGTGCCTGGTTGGTGACCAAGAAGGCAGAATCCTTCTGCACTATGAAGTTATAGGACGCAGAAGAGACGTTGTGTTGGAGCTGATTAGAGCAAAGCCAGAATCTGTGAGGTTACCTGATGACAACGGGAAAAATATTTTCCACTTGTGTGTGATGCCCAAACTTGGAGAGTCTTAAAGATTTGGTGGCTTTGGGTGCTCATCACACCAATAAGCTGCTCATTGAAGGAGACTTGGCTGGCAACAACACCATTCTCCATTTGGCTATCATGTTGAAGCAGGTCAAGGTACTTTTACTCATGTATAATTAGCTTGAGCTTGATATCAATCTAGACTTGAGTCAGGATCTCCTTTCATTCAGTTGACGATCTTACTTCCCTTGCTGCCATCATTAATTCCTTTCGCGTTTTTATCAAATGTTATGAATTTAATAAAACCTGCATGTTTCCAAGGAATCTCTTTCTCATGTAAATTTTGATTTAGGAAAAAGAAAAAGGAAAGAAAAATGACTGGCAGCAAGGATGCAGGATTCGTTTGACACGACCTATGTATATAAACCGGTTTCGATCTTTTTCTGGTCCTGTTATTTATAAGTCACAAGAGTAACATATTAAATTTGCTTCTTCTTTTTTGCGTTGTTGTTTAGACTGTGAGTTACATCATGTCAATTCCAAGAATAAGATCAGAAGCATTGAACTTGAAAAACGACATGGGTTATAGCGCCCCCGATATTGTTCATGGAATTCCCAAGGACTGCAAGAGCCTTGAAATACAAGTCATATTGATGGAGTTTGGAATCAAATGTGGAAGGAGAGAAAGGATTGATGTTGCGAGCGAAGAAGACACAAGTGGGAAGAAGAAGAAGAGGTGGTGGAGATATGTTTTGGAAACTATAGACCAATGGCTTGTGTATAAGGGCGATTGGCTAGAAGAAATGAGGGGGGATCTGAGCATGGTGGGTACTGTCATCTCAACCATGACTTTTCAAGCGGCACTTAACCCTCCAGGAAACGTCACCCAACAAAATGTAGGACCAGGCGATCCCCCTTTTAAACTCACTTCTCCAGAAGACAGACCCCTCGGCTGTTTGCCGTACAGAGATGAGTCTGGGCATAACCTCTCTTCCGGACCAATATTGCCCGGGGAAGCCATGCTTGCTTATAGTAATGCAGAATCCTTTCGCCCCTTCATAATGTACAATACCATATGTTTTGTTGCATCTCTTTGTGTTGCCTTCTTGCTTGTAAGTGGACTTCCTCTCAAACATAGGTTTGTGATGTGGATGCTATCTGCAGCCATGGGTACCGCTCTCGCGTGCCTACTAAATACTTATTTATTCGACCTCTTCCTTATCACCCCGTACAATGATTATACCGATGATGTGCCGATCGTATCCTCTTGGATTTTTGCTGCTTTACACCTACTGGTTATTCTATACAGCATAATGATATTTGTTTTATGGGTAGTGAAGAAATTGAAGGCAAAGTCCACTAAGTCCAGTGACCACACTGCTAATAATGCTTGATATGATCGATCTCAATCAATTGATGCGTGTCTTTGGTGTTTACAACTTCTGAGGGGTTGATTACTTTTAATGTTCGATGTGTATATGTGTTATGCACTTAAATATTTAATGAATGGCTTGTGTTTTAGGAGTTTTCAGTACTGTCTTCCTTATCTTCCCTCGTCTCATTCTCAGCACAAACTTTGTATCTCATGCTTCAAGGTTTGAAGCTCGTCTTACTTGTTTATGTGTATGAGAAACCTTTTTCCCATGAAAAAACCTCTCCATCATTTCATTGATATCATAAACCATATTTATAAGTTTATTTTTTTTAAACAACATAGAGATATATGTTATTATTTCAATGAAGTTTAAGATTTATTTACTTTACTTTAAGGAGAAATTTTAAAAATAAATATATTTGTATAATTTCAATTAAAACAAAACTGTGCTTGTTTAATTCAAAGAATAAAATCTATGTAGTTTATTTTCTATTTATAAGTCTTCAAGCTCAATTCCACGATTGAACTTTATCTTAATTTTTTTTATGTCCTTATTCGTTGTCTAAAAGACATGATGTTTAAAGCCTGTTTGGAATGGCTCATAAACTTCTTTTCAATTGTAATTTAAAGAATACAAGATAAATATATAAGAGAAGTTTTATCTCAACTTATATGAAATGTATTTATAAGTGATTTCAATCTTGAAGGCAAATAAGGCCTTAATCGGCAAAAAAGAAGTTGGATTTTGACTCATAATAATATATAAAAAATTAAAGTAATGAATTTCAAGTCACATTACCGAACTTAGCAACTTTTCCAGCATTTTTAGCGTGTTTGGCATAGCATTAAGGAGGGAAAAGCCCCATTGAGGAAGAAAGAAGCCACGTTGAGAAGTGATAAAGCTCAACATGTTGTTTGGGTCAGCATTTTGTTGGATGAGCATTTGACCCAAAAGCTTCGGTACTGCGAAAGTCATTTAGAGCTACTTTTCGAAGAAAAACCCATCTCTGCCGTGGAGAGAGAATAGATGATTGGATGAAAAGAAAAATAAGGGTATTTAAGTGGGTCGTATCTTGATCAAATGATTTGATGTTTATAAAAAATATTGTGGGAAGAAAATAATTTACTAATAAAATTTAATTATTTTATTTTTTCTTAAATTTATCAAATTATATATATGATGTGCTATCTCTGGTTCTTAATATAAGACCCAATAGACTAATTTGAAGAGATTAAGAAAGTTAAATAAATTACTTAATTATATCATATGTTATATGATTTTTTTAAATATTTATGTGTATCATTAGATTACAGATCAATCTGTAAATCAAGCAAATTAATTTGGAGAAAAATGATACCTTTTTCATTTATTTTACATCTTAACCTACTTTTTCTTTACTTATTCAAACAAATTTCAATTTATCAAATTGAATTTTACAAAAATCAATCTAAATATAAATTCTTCTACACTAACTGATTTTTAACCTAACTCACATTTGCAAAAGTCAATGAAACAAAAGTCAGCTTTATCATGTTAATCCAACACACCCTTAATCTCTCTCTATCCAACTTTCATTGGCAACCCAATTAATAATTATTTAATAATTAATGAAGTGTCACGGTACAAGGCTTACTGGAAATGGGCCAAAAGTAGATATGGGCTGCAGATGAAGCAAATGGGCTGAAAAATATATCCAAGGGTTTGAAGGAGCATAAGTTCATTTGGTTCGAAACATTAAAACTAAAAGGTAGGGATTGTGATTGTGATTGAGAAAAATTATTAAAAAAATATTTAATATAAGTAATTACTTATCACATAGAATTAGACAAAACCATCAATGTGGGTTGGGAAATGCCACCCCCTATCGTATTCCCTAATCCTACCTACATAGATTTGTCTAATTCCATGTAATATTCAACTTGTCATACTAGACATTTTTATTTTATAGATTTTCTCAGTCCTAATCTCAATTTCTACTTCTTATTTTTAATGTTATGTATCGAACAGGACTATAGGTTTGAAGACGTGGATGAATTTTACCAAGTCACACTCTTTTTCTCTATGATGTCTTTGCTTCTTCTCTAGCCATCGTCGGCATCTTGAGACTATGGAACTTTGTCTCTGCAACTTTTATTTGTGACTATATGATGTCTAAGTGGTTTCTATCAAAATAGTAGAAAAATATATCCTTTCTAGGTAGTCAATAAGAGACTACTTTCCAATATATTCTAATAATAAACAGCACCAAACTGATTTTGTGCTTCCCACTCTAGAGAGTTTTCAACTTTAACTCCAATTTTGGGCTTAAATTAAGTTTCTGCGTTGAGGAAGTCCGTTTATGTGAGGGGAAAAGCCATTCCAAAGGTTTAATTCTAATATTGTTTGGAGAGTTTTGACATCACCTTCCAATATGTTTGCAGTTTTTGGGATTGGAGGTTGTTTCATAATCACCTGAAGTAGTACAAAATTATCGCCAATCACACCTGTGCATACGTCATTAATTACTTGTTTTAAATAAAAAATTAAATAAATAAATTAGAAAATGTGAAGACGCGCCCCAAGAGTCCTAACAAGCGTGCACCCTCTTGTTTAAGGAAATGACTTGTTTTAAAAACGTTAGCTTCTTTCATGGGTAGTTTACTCGCAGCCCATAAATTTGGAATGCAGATGAGTCAACTATGTATTTATGGCTGTTCAACTGTGCCAACGCGTTGACGTTGGTCCTCCTCCTGAAGAAACTCCGCCAGATTTAACTGAATCTGAAATAATATCGAAGTTATCTTGAACTAACTCTGAAATAACTTGGAAGTTTCTTACTAACAGTCCGAAACATCTTGGAAGAGACGGAGATGTAGAAAATGAAGGCATGAGAATTCTTTGCATCTGAGTCTGAAACAGCTTGGAAATTTCTCAGAACTTCCACTACACATCGATTACATATATATATATATATATATATATATATATATATGCAGCCTATACTTTTTGACAGAAGCAAGAAAGCCTTTTGGAAGGTAAATTCTTCCCCAGTTAGTCAAGAAAAGTGAGTGAACGCGACGGGGAGTCATAGAGCTCAGCTTCATCAACGGCTTTTGAGTTCCCTTTTCTAATGTCTCAACAAGAAATCGACCAAGTGAGCATTCTTTTTGAGGCATCTAAGAAGGGAGATGTATCGATTTTAAAATCATTGGTACGAGAAAACTCACAAATCTTGCACAAAATTTCACTTTCTGACTTCGCCGAAACTCCTTTACACATATCATCTTCTCTTGGCCATCGTGAATTCACAGAGGAACTTGTCACTCTCAATAGCAAACTAGCGACTGAGTTGGACTACTCCAATAGGACAGCCCTCCACTTGGCTTCTGCAGAGGGTCACATTGAAATTGTGAGGAAACTGGTAGAAACTGATAGTGATCCATGCTTGTATGTTGATGAAAAAGGAAGAATTCCTCTGTATTATGCAGTGATGAGGGGGCGAGTAGAGGTTGTGAGAGACTTGATCAGAGCGAAGCCAGAGTCCTTGAATGTTCGTAACAAGGAGGAGACTGTTTTTCACTTATGTGTTAAGCACAATCATCTTGAAACCTTGAAAGCCTTAGTAGAACTAGAGCTTCACATTACCGGCGAGCTTCTCAACTTCAATAGTATTGATCCCGCCGAGAATACCATTCTCCATTCAGCTATCATGTTGAAGCAAGTTGAGGTACTCTTTGCTTCTTTTTCCTCCTACCCATTTCTTCATTAATGATAATATTACTTTTTTTTCTTCTTTTTTTTTTTGGGGCCATCTTTTTTCTTTATTTTTTTTAACAATTACATGTGCTATTAATTTCAGAGAAGAATTCATCATGAAGTTTTTGACCCTTTTCTGTGGTATTTGCTCTAGGATTTTTCTAATTGAGTTGACAAACTAAAATTCTTATTGTTATTACAGGAAAACATCATGAGTGACGACTTAATTATAAAATATAATCTCTTAAAATTATATCATTTTAACTATATTTTAGCCATTTAAAAAAGAAACCTAGAAAATAATTTTAAATAAATGTCATGAAAAATCAAAATTTTCAAATTTTATAATATAATCAAAATTAATAAATTTGACAAAATACTAGGAAGTTCAAAATTATATGCATTAGAAGTAATAAGTTTGATAAAATATTAGGGAGTTTGAAATTATATGCATCAGAACAACTTTTATAAAAATTAACTTTTAAATGTTTGAATAATTCCTATAATAAAAAGGGGTATTTTGGTTAAAACAAAAGTTTAAGAGTCAAATTTAATGGTCAACCAACAGTTTGGATGGATAAAAATGGATTTTTAATTATGTAAAGGAGGCTTGTGTGACATAAAATTTAATTCTAAGGGAAATTCATATGTCGTTTCAAATATTTTACTCTTATTTCTTTGTTTTTAGAAAAATATAGTTAGAGATGACTGGTAATGTATTTTCAGCCACAATTCTTTTTATTTATAATGTAATTAATTATCAGTAAAGCAACATTATATTGTATTAAATATTTAATTTAGCCTTTGATTACGTAGTGACTAGTTGTAGTAATTTGTTAATGAAATCAAACTGCAAATTGGTTGGACCATGATGCTGGTGGGCTTTGATAATCACAATATACTCAATCATACGCATATTTAGCTCGGCCTCGCGGAATATTCTGACACGTTCACTATTTAATGAATTAGACCATAAGGTACCTCCTTTCAATACCTGAAATGAGGCAAAAAGCAGCAGCAGGGTTAAAGAACAAGTTTGGTTTAACAGTTAATGATATGCTGGAGATGGTTCCACATGACTTCAGGACCCTTGAGATACGAGGCATGTTGAACGGAACTGAGCCGGCAACCTCAACTCCGGCCAACAAAACTACTCAGAACAAGGGTTGGAGAAAGATTCTAGAGCTTGTGGCATATATTTTGAGTCATAACGACACAACTTGGCTAGAAGATACGAGAGGAAATTTGAGTTTAGTGGCTATAATGATCTCAACTATAACCTTTCAATCTTTAATTAACCCTCCTGGTGGTTTTGTTCAACAAGATATAGCTTCAGATGGGGGACCCTTCGGATGCTTATCTGATGATGGTGCAAGGGTAACAATATGCCCTGGAGATGCAGTTTCAGCTGTTACGTCCACTTCTGCTTTTCATCGCTACCAAAGGTACAACACCGCATGTTTTATTGGATCTCTCTGGGTCACCCTCTTACTCGTAAGTGGAGTTCCTTTGAAGCATAAACCTGCGGTATGGGTGTTGTCTCTTGGCATGTGCACGACTCTAACATTCCTAACGCTCACATATCTTCAAGGCCTCTTCATGGTGAATCCAGATTTTTGGCTTCTTGTCTTCCCTAATAGAATGATTTCTGGAGCACTTGTGATTTGGTTTGGGATTCTTGGGGTTATTGCTTTGTTGTCCACGTTACGCTTTGCTTTTTGGCTAATGGAAAAGGGGAAGAAGAAGTTCAACAGCCGTCAGACAATATCTTGTGATCCAAGGAGCGGAATCGAAAATGCATGATCCTTGTGTACGGGATACCATGTTCTTATAGCTTTGAATTTGTTATAAAATCGTTGCTACTGCGTCCTCGAGCTGTCTATTTCATGTTCTTAAATATTTTTCAAGAGTATAGGAAATGATAGATGAAATTGAGAGTAGAAAGTTGCCATACACGGTAAAATCAAAGTGTTAAAGTACAGCTTTTGTGTTATTTTATGTACTAGTGATATGATAGTTTAGTAGGATACTGTTTCTGGTCCTTAATATAAAAGTTAGTTGACTAATTTGAATAAATTAAGACAAATAATAAATAGTTGTTATTTTTTCTAGAATATATTCTTACTAATCATGTGTATTAGCAAAAATCACCATGTAATAGAATCTTTAATATATGCAACTTCTACAATGACTACTTTAGAAGAAAAAAAAGATAAATATGAGAGATAGAGTAGATAGATTCTTATATTTAAAACTAAATTGAATGTCAAATTAGCTCTTATATTAAAGATCAGAGGTAATATTAAACTTAAGAAGCAAATAGTTGGTCTCACTTAAGGATTTATAACTTGATTATACATTGGCTTACAATTCCTTCTTTCGGAGTGAATTTGTATCATTCTCTTCCGCATGCGAGAGTAAAAAGAGCCAAAAATGATCTGAACTTTATATTTCTATTTGTTATCTATCAGAAAGAAAAAGAGAGAGCAGGACTGTAGGATAGGAAATGTTAGAGGATAAAATAATTAATTTAAAAAAGACAAAACTTATAAGAACTTGTCTTTTAGCAATATGTCCTCTTTATGAAAGAGTGGTGATATATGAATGTTTACTCACATGGTAACAGCCAGACTTCAGTAATTAAGGAAAACAAGCAGAGGGGAAAAGCAAGAGATAAATAAAGAGAGATTAAAAATCATATTTAATTGTTACTGAAAAAATTGTACTCCTCCGGTCCTTAATATATGACTTAATTCTTGAGTTGGTTTTGGTCCTAAATATAAGACCCATTTATCATATTTATCAATTTTCTCTAAATTACCTCTATAGATACTCCCTCAACCATAATCAAGTAGAAGAGAGAGATGAGGTATTAAGAAAGATGATTATGGTGTTTTAGGAAAAATGTGTCACTTTTTTTATAATTAATTAACTTATCTAACTTCCTTAATCTAATCAAATTTGTTAAATAGGTTTTATATTAAGGACTGGATGAGGTGCCATTGATGGTATGTGATTATAAATGATTAGGTTTTACATTACGTTATACACTGTATATACCAATTTGTGTTGTAAAGGTGCCATTGATGGTATGTGATTATAAATGATGATGTTGGCTTGTGTAATTAGCTATGATAATGTATGGAAATAGTTAGTATATGAATGGAATGGTATTATGTATAGAAAGTCCTAATCATGAACTGTTAGTGCAAGTTAGGAGATAAGCTATCCCTAATTGAGCAACAAATTAGTGATGGAGTAGAAGTATGACAAATGACTGACTCTGCTCATAAAATTTGGCATGATTAAAGTACACACCCTGAGCTTTAGAACAAGTGATAGATCACTTAAAACAGATGTGTGTGCTAAGAGTTATAATTGCTCAAAGTTGGACTGAAAATCTGAAATTTAACCAGTGAACAGTAACCCGAGAACCAATCACAAAGTTCAATCTACGGGCTTATTTTGTGAATTGCTTGAACCATAACACTTCCAAACGTGTACCCTGAGAGGTTAAAGGTAGGATGTTTCAGGGGAGGGGAGTGACAGTGCATTGTCAGATCATTCTTTGCCATTGTTTGTTAACAATGTTTGCAACATCAATGGCGGAAGGATTTTGTAAATTTAACAAAATTAACTACAAGGATTCAATAAAAAGAAATAAAACTATAAGAATCTAATTCAAAATTTGATCAAACTATAAGGACCTGAAATATATTTTCCCTAAATCAAGTTATAAAGACACATCATCATTTTTTAAAAAATAAACTATAAGAATTTAAGTTACAATTGGAGAAAATTATAGTAAAGACCTACCAGCTTAATTTTTCTTATAAATAGGAAAAGAAATAAATGGCCACTTGATCCCATAGCTGATGATCGCACCGTTGAGGAATAAGAACAATGTGCAGGAACCTTCACTCCTTTATTTCTCTTATAAAAATATACTGTATATATAGTGAAATATGTAACTGTAGTTTATATATATATAAATATCAACTCCCGAGATATTAGGTAGATTATAGGGAATCAGATTTATTTTTGAATTATTCCTAGAATATCTCTGTAATCTCTCTCGATCTCCATTCTGCTTATATATACATTGTACAGCAACACCCAGAAATATACAAGTGAATATTTTCATATATACCATGTCTATATGGTACCAGAGCCAGCGGACAGTCATCCCTCAACGAGTCCAGTGAATTCCTCTTCTTCGTCCTCCACATCGGAGGACATATCGGTTGGGTCGAGCCCCAGGTAGCGTCCGACCATGATAGACCCTCCTGGTGGATCCCCTGTGCAAGTTTCTGGTTCGACCAATGCCACCTCTGTGTCGACCATCAATGTCGATAGCTCCTTTATTGCTCTTGTGTTGGAAAAACTCATCGGCAGCAATTACAGGGAGTGGGCTCAAGCTATGTGATTAGCCATCGGTGGTCGTGGCAAGCTCGGTCTAATCACTGGAGAATTGACTGCACCTAGTGACCCAAAGTCTTCAGAGATGCAGCAATGGCTCACGGACAATTCTCTTGTGTGCTCCTGGTTGATTAACGCTATGTCGCCTTCCCTTAAACGGAGTTTTATGTATTTACCTACTGCTAAAGACATGTGGGATGCTGTTCGAGAATCCTATTCTGATGGTGAGGACCTTGCCCGTCTTTATGATCTAAAAACCAGAATCTGGAATATCAAGCAAGGTACTCGCACCATTACTGACTACTGGTTGGAGCTCGTTGGACTGTGGCAGGAATTGGATATGATCACCAAGGAGGAGTGGTCATCTTCCACTGATGCTGCATGACGCAAAAACAATGTTGAAAAGGAACGTGTTTTTCAGCTCCTCACTGGTTTAAACCCTGAGTTTGATGACATTCGAAGCCGGATTCTAAGTCGTTCGTCGCTGCCTAACACTCGTGAGGCTTTCTCTAAAGTATGTCATGAAGCCTCGCGTCGTGACGTTATGCTGTACCCCGCCTCTTCAACCATTTCTGACTCCTCTGCCCTTATCAGTAGAGGGGGGTCCTCATCTTCCTCCACAAAGTCTTGTAAGAAGCCAGGCCACACTCATGACTGTTGCTGGGACATTCATGGCAAACCAGCTAATTGGAAATCTCGAAAGGGTAAACCTCGGGGTTATCAGGTATCACCAGAACCCTCCTAATCCTCTGATTCTCTTCCACCCTTGTCAAATGAGCAACTGCAACAGTTACTTACTGCTCTTAAAGGCCTCCCAGCGTAGCAACCTCCCCCTGCTGCGTCTGCCTCTATAGCTCACACAGGTACTCCTCCATTTGCTCTTCACACTTCATATGTTTCTTACCTATTTTCCCTATGCTGGTAATGACACGATCACCACTGCTAATGGTTCAGCTTCTCCTATTGCCGGTAAAGGCTCGGTTACTCTTTCAAATTCACTGCATCTCAATTCTGTCTTACATGTCCCTCATTTGGCCTGTAACCTTCTTTCTATCAGCAAAATTACTAAACATGCAAATTGTGGGGTGCTTACTTTTTCCCACTTACTGTATTTTTAGGATCTCTCATCGGGGAAGATGATTGGCATAGCTAGGGAGCATGATGGTCTCTATTGTCTCGATGTCTCTACCGTGACTACCTTGTGTTCGCAAATCTATGGTCTTGTCTCTACTTCTGACAATAATGATATTTTATTATGGCATAAAAGAATGGGTCATCCCAGTTTCTCTCATTTGCAACGTTTGTTTCCTCATTTATCCTTTAATAAAAATTCCATTCTTCATTGTGATTCTTGTACACTTGCCAAACACCATCATGTACCTTTCCCACCATCGCAATACAAACCAACTCGTCTGTTTTCTATAATTCACAGTGATGTTTGGGGTCCATCTCGTGTTTCCAACCATACCCACTCAAAATGGTTTGTCATCTTCATTAATGATCACACACGAATGACTTGGGTTTACTTAGAAAAATCCATTGTTCCCCCTGTTTTTATGGAATTCTTTCACCTTGTCTAAAATCAATTTAACACTACAATTCAGGTTTTATACACAAATAATGGTACTGAGTTTTTTAATCAACAGCTTGACTCTTTTATGAAAACCAATGGCATTGTCCACAATAGCTCTTGCCCTCATACCCCACAACAAAATGGTGTTGCCGAATGCAAAAATCGACATCTTTTTGAGGTCGCCTGTGCGCTCCTATTCACATGTAATGTGCCTAAATTTTCCTGGGGGATGCTATTCTTACAGCCACTCATTTAATCAATTAAATGCCAAGCCGTGTTCTCTCTTTTGTCTCTCCTTTAGACAAACTTTGTGAAACTCACCCAGTCACTCATCTTGATCACCACCTTCCGCTTCGCGTCTTTGGTTGTTCTGCCTTTGTTCATCTTCCTCACCCTCAATCTAAACTTGATCCACGTGCCGTTAGATGTATTTTTTTGGGGTACTCATCTAGTCAGAAAGGATATAAGTGCTATGATCCCACTTCCAAAACCTCTCTTGTTAGTCGTGATGTCTCTTTTTCTGAGCATGAGCCGTACTTTCCCACTTCTTCAATTCAGGGGGAGAATTGGAGTGAATTTCAGCATGTAGAAAGTGTACCTGAGCCTATACCTCCAACTCAGCCTATTCTATCCATTTCACCTAGTAATTCTACACCTATTCCTCCCAATATTGTGCAAGTGCCAAAGGCAGGGGGAGATAACACCAGCAATAAATATAACAAGGTATACACACGGCGAGATAAAGAAACTATAGAGATCATAATGCCTAGAGCTCTGCCAGAATCTGACCAAATGAAAGATTCTGAAACGG